CCTACTGGTTAACATTGCAGACAAAATTACTATGGTACAGGAACTAGTCAAAACTACCCCCTCATGCCATAAAGGGAATATTGAAGAACCCACTGAACCCCTGGCTATCCAATGCCTGGTTAGCTCATTATCAGTTGCTGCTTTTGACACCCCCTCACATTTGCTACAACCAATCATCAGAGCTCAAGTCTGCTACCCTCCTGCCAAACCCAGAGGCAGCTGTCAAGCATGAGTGCTCCATTGTTCTGCAACATGTCCAGAATCTCCTGACTGATATCACTTGGCCGGATTTGTATTAGTTACTCTTCTCAGATGGAAGCAGCTTTGTCCAAAATGTCACCAGGTGACAAGGTCTGGATTAAGAGACATAGTCAAAAGGCTTAGAACTTTGCTGGATGGGACCACACACAGTGATCCTCACCATACAGTGAAGGTGTACAGAATCTGGACCTGGATACATCACTCTCACATCATGCTGTCTGGATAGGAAACATACCAACAGTTCAAGTGCCAATGAGAATGCCTTCTAGACTCATCAACAATTCACCGTGGATGGAAAATTATACTATACTCCAAGGACATGATGAAGCTACAACTACAACCTTCCTAATCCTGCTTGTTTTATGCCACGTGTCTCCAGCTGCCTCTTCCCCATACTAGCCTCTCAGTTTCACATGGACAGTCATCAGTGTTGGGACCAGTGAAATTCTCAATCAAACCTCTCAAATTGTACCCAAAGGGACCTAGATTCCTGATTTAGAAATAAACTTTGAAACCCCATTTGAACCTAATCCCAAATGGGAATTGGGGGAATCACAGACAAGGAGATTTTACCTCTGCCCAGGACCTGGTTTATCTAAACAGCAGCTTACATGCAGTGGATGGAGGGCGCAAGCTTCTACTCCCATGCCTCCTGGAGTTTTGTGTTTACTGGACACATATGGCAGAAACCACCTGTGACCACCAACCCTATCACAGTGAGACCAGGTTCCTGCAGACATGGATATCATAATGGTAATGAACATTGCACCATCATTAAGTTCCCTGATATTGGAAATAGGGCACAACCTAAGGACTATGGGTATGCAATGCTTTCTAGGAACCATGGGGTTTTATTCAACATCAAATTGACTAGCCAAACTCCTAGGCTTGGGCCAAGTTTGCCCCTAGGTACAAACAAAGAACTATCTAAACTAGCTAAGAAAGGATGCCAGTTTAAGCTCAGATCTACCCCAGGGCAAGAGCTGACAACTGCAGAATCCAGGCCAAGTCCCATCCTAAATGAAAACCCACTCCCCAATTCAGGATCTTTAGAACTCTTAGAGGCTGCTTATGAAATCTTAAATACCTCTAGGCCAGACCTTACTGAGACCTGCTAGCTATGCCTATATGTCAAGCCACCCTATTATGGGAAAATTCCCATTATGGGAAACCGATCAATATTCTCTGATACCCTGACATACAGATGGCAACAATCAGAAAAGGGAAAACTAACCCTACAGCTTATGATAGGAAATGGTCTCTGTGTTGGAAACCTCACCTCCACCAAGGTTATTCCCATATCTGCAATGAAACTCAGATGGTATTTAATCCACCAGAGAATGCTTAGTGGGCTTGCACCACTGGCCTTACTCCCTGTGTACATACTCAGGTCTTAAACCATACTAAAAAATTTTGTGTCTTGGTACAGTTAGTCCTTAGAGTAGCTTACTACACAGAAGAGGAGATCCTTTACCATCTATATTCACATACTGGATAAGCAAAACGTGAGACCATCATAAATTCCTCCTGGGCCTAGGTCTGGGAAGGGTCATAGTTAATGAAACTTCAGTACTATTTCTGCAGGATAAAAATTATAGGACCTTATCATCAGCTATAGATGCAGATTTGGAGAAATAAGATCAATCACCCATTTCCAGGACTCCTCTCTCATCACAGGCAGAAGTAGTTCTGCAAAATAGAATAGGTCTGTTCTTGCTGTTCCTCCAACAGGCTCTGTGAAGCCTGAGGAATATTGTTTCAACGTAGATCATTCTGGGGTTGTCAAAGAATCCATGGCATTGCTTAGCAAAAGGCTTCACGAAAGAAAAATAGAAAGAGAACAATCTCAAAATTGGTATAAATTTATCTTGAACTGGTCCCCCTGGTCTAGGCTCTTGCTGGACCCATTGTCCTTCGGCCCTTGTCCTTATTGCTGCTTTCACTTGAAGCCCCTACATAATGAAGTCATTAGTTAAATTTGTTAAAGAATGTGTCTGTACTGCTCAATTAATGATTCTTAAGCAGCAATAGCAGCTCTTGGACCCATCTCAAGGATTCAAGATGGAATCCTACTCAGGAGAATGAGAGGACTTAATTCCAAGACACAAGCCAGTCCCAATCTGAGTCACATAGGCTCTATATGCACCTGCCAGTCCTAAGTCACATAGCTACCATGGACTCTAGCCAATTCCAGTTGAGGTCATGGAGCTACAGTAGAAATTCCTCTTTCTGGTTTTAAAAGAGGTTTGTGAACTTTCTTTGTGGAAGTCACCATTTTTCTTTTTTTTAATTAGTGATTGACAGCACCATGCTGGTTTTCTCGGAATAATAAATGTTCTTTGAGTTTGCATATTACTTGAGTTTGGGGTCTTCCTTCAGCTGACCTAACAGTAACAGTGTCTTTGTTTATTTATAAATGCATGGCAAAATATTTTCTCTTTCCCAAGGAGGCCTGCACAGCCTTAGGAACATCTGTTTTAGACACCCCAATTCTGCTCCAGCAGTCCCCTACTTTCCAGGTCCTCCTGGGCATAGGCAGCAAAGTGAGCTGCATGCTGACCCCTGAGCCTCCTCATCTGCCTTCCTGAGGAGGACTGCAGGACCTCAGGAAAATCTGTCTTAGACACCTCCCTGCCATTTCCTTGCCTACCTGGTCCTCCTCAGGCACAGGCAGCAGAAGTGAACTTCTCTCTGTCTTTTGAGCTTCATTGTCAGGCTCATGGCTCTCTCCCCATTCCCATGGAGGAGAGATTCAAGGCCCACTCTTCTTAGTGCTACAGTCAGTGAGGGGGCATGGCTAGCTCTCCTGAGAATCCCATCTACTGCAGGTGGCAAGGGGAGGGGAGAAGCATCACGCTGACACCAGACCCACCTCAGGGCAGACCAGTAGCAGGGCCTGCATTCTCAGTTTTGGTGCTGGCTCACCTGTGCCTCTTCTCTTTGGGCCAGCTCTACTGTGAAATTCAAGAGAGGTACATGGCCCACTCTCCTGAGTGTTGCAGCTGGTCAGGGGCAGGGCCAGCATTACTGACTTCATGACCCCAGGGCCAACTCTCACAACTGTCATGGTGGTGAAGAGTGAGGGGATGAGGATATCATCCCCACACCCATGCTACCTCACAGCAGGCAAGTGTCATCAGGACCAGATTTCCACGCTCATCTGTGGGACCAGCTCCTCTGTGCCTCTACCACCAGGTCAGCTCTGTTGTACTGTCCATGCAAGTTACAAGGTGTGTTACCCTGAAATGATGCAGCTGGTGAGGGGTAAGTAAAGTACAGCTCTTCCATGCTCATGACTCTGTGAGCAGCTTTGCAGGCTGCCAGAGGTGTTATGTAGCAAGGCTGGTCACCTCTGTGCCTGTCCTACTCGACATAAAATAAGTAGCAGGGTCAGCTCCCCAAACTGACACACTTAGGGCAGCTCACCCATACCTGAGGCACCAGGACCAGCTCCACTGTCCTGCCTAGGTGAGGTGCAAGGTCCTCTCTTCTGAGTGTTGCCTCTAGTGAGAAATGGGGCCAGCACTCCAGAGCACTGCAGCCATTGAGGGGCAGGGCTAGTTCCCTACCGCTCTTGAGAATCCATATTGTCTCTGATGTCTGTTTTGATCAGGGTCATCCCTAAGTTCTCTATTGGTGATATAAGCCACAGACATAGACACCCACTCCTGCCATTGCATAGTCACAGACCCAGACATTGCTTTTAGCTTCAGCTTGGGCTGAGACCTCACCATGGACCCAGGTGCCTGGGCTGGTCACTCACAACAGGCTATTCCTCTTCACTCTCAAGTCTCTAGTTTCATCTCTCTTTATAATGCTGAAGGTGCTCCACTTTTATTTCTTTCCCATCAATCTATCACATATTCATATATAGTGGTTGTTCCAGCTACAGTCTGGCTGGCAGGTCCCTGGGTGACATGTAGAGGAAAGCTACCTGTAGTGTTCTTTTTTAAAACTTTATTTGTGGTGCTTAGGCTTCTACCTCTCTTCCACCAAACCCCAAACCTTAAGTAAGAGAGATAAAAGGTTAGTGGTTAGAGGATTTTCAGACCCGTTTACTTCTCCCTGCTATTTAGAGTTAAGGGGTTCTTTTAGGGCTCTATAACATTTTCCGCCAATTGCAGATGCAGATATCAGGTTTCTCCTTGCCTTTGCTACCCGAAACTTTTCTGTCGAAGAGTTTCTCTCTATCTGTCTTCTCCAAATCACCACACCATCTCTGTTCTCCCCAAACTGCTACGTGCCACATACTAACATCGATTGTCACACAGAATGCCACTCCAGAATACCACTTCGCTTGGTCCTCATATTTATACACACACATATCTGGACCATGCCCCTCTTCCCCCTGCATATGGAAGGCCATTACCAGCTGGAAAAAGTCATGCTCCAAACAAGACAATTAACAGTTCTGGACAAACTATAGCCCAGTTAAAATCTCACACTTGGGATTTAAAAAAAAAAAAAGCATACTTACACAACATACAAAGAAACCGAAACTTCCAATACAGTGACATCCTCCAATAAGTGGGTGTCTAAGGCTTGCTTGCACTGTGCTGTATGGTGCTAGATGAGGTTCTCTGTGTGTATGATCTGCCTGTGTTGTGGGGCACAGGGGAGGTCTGTTGGTATCTTTTTCTGCCTGCACTGAGTAGCACAGTGGAAAACATGTCTCTGTCTGTCTTCCTACTCCTGTGCTGTGCTGTGTGGATTTTAATTGGTATGGTTTGGTTTAGTTTTTATGTGTCCTAGGCATAAAACAACTTTAACCATCAAGCCTGGCTTCAAGCTAAGATAAACAAAGGACTGACAGCTTCTCTACCTCTGAGTTATAAGAACAACACCACCAAACAGCTGTCTCTTTGCCCATTGCAAGGGGAATTTCTCCTTGAATTTCTAAGCAATAAATTTGCTTTAACTAATTAATGTCTCATTATGAACAAAATCTTGTTGCTTTCCTAAAATTGTACTATTGTGAGAAACTGATTAAGTTTCATTGTTTTAAGTCTTCAAACTGAATGTGACTATAGTATTCTTAATAAAAATGTTCAGTTAAATATAAGTGGGTGTATCAATGGGTTTGAGTCCATTTGGGTTTTTGTTATCATCTGTTGCAATAATTTTGACTGATAAAGGAACTGAAGCTATTAGAAGTATTAAAGACTATCTCAAAGCAATGATTATTACTTCTATTTTACACACACATGTGTGCTGCTTTGTGTACTGCCATCACTACTGTCTTCAAAAATATAATGGATTTGAGAAGCGCTCTTTGAACTAAGGACAAACCTATTAATCTGAGTTAATGAATAAAGAATAGTTTTAAGAATGAAAGCAATGCCCCATATATATGTACCACATTTTTTTTCAAGATGCATTGTGGCAATTTTATGTTATTCAACTTTAACGTTACTGGCAATACCTCAAAACATCTCTTATTATTGCAATTTTAAAGTGTTATTTTTCTGGTCAAAGAGCTAATGAGAGCTAGAATGGGGATGTATATGTATAACTTTTCTAATATTCAGGTATTTTATGTAAGGTACACTGTAATAAAATTTACATATATATTTCAGAAAACCCCAGCATCTAGAGCATAAACTAAAGACTATACCTTAAAACTGTGCTTTCTGATTTTAGGTAGACTTATTGAAGAGAATAAGAAAACTGCCTAGGTTAAGGGATCTAGTAATTTGTGGTTATCCATATCTATTCTAACTGCACTCAGAACAGAAACCATTGTTTCTAGGTCTATAGAAAATGGAAAATATACATTATTAAATAACATATATTTTAGTTTTAGTCTACCAGATTTCTCTGTTTGATTGTTAAACTAAATTTGCTTTATCAGACATACTTAAAGCCCATGAGTATGATTTGAGAAAATTGTGAAAGTCTAATTGAGAATGTCTTCAATATAGCCATTTTGTGCTTTTTTTTTTATTAAAGGCATAATCAACATCACTCTGTAGACAATCTAATAATAAACTGAACAATGCAGCCATAATGTGAAAAATATGTGCCAGTGTGAACATAAACAAAATATACAAAATGAAATTATTTTTTCTCTCCATATATATATATATATATATATATATATATATATATATATATATATATTCTCTCCATATATATATATATATATATTCTGCCTTTCATTTCCTTTATTTCTTTATATTTTAAAACATCTTTTCATTTTCATCCTTTGTTATAATTAACTTTGTTTTTCCCTCCATTCCTACCACATGAGAAAATTTGCCAAAAGAGGCTCAAGTACACAAAAAGGACATTTGCTCAACCATTTTTGTAGCAGCTTTATTTGTAATAGCCAGAAGCTGGAAACAACCCAGATGTCCCTCAACTGAAGAATGGATGCAGAAACTGTGGTACATCTATACAATGGAGTATTACTCAGCAATGAAAAATAAAGAAATCATGAAATTTGCAGGTAAATGGTGGGACCTGGAAAGGATCATCCTGAGTGAGTTGTCCCAGAAGCAAAACGACACGCATGGTATATACTCACTCATATAAACATGCAACATAGAATAAACCCACTAAAATCTGTACATCTAAACAAACTAAGCAAAAGAGAGGACCCTAACTAAAATGTTCAATCCCCATCCTGAAAGGCAAAGAGGATGGACATCAGAAAAAAAAGAAAATAGGAAACAATCTCGGAACCTGCCACAGAGGGCCTCTGAAAGCCAGAAGAAAACAGGAAACAACCTTGAAACCTGCCACAGAGGGCCTCTGAAAGCCTCTGCAGTATAGACTGTCAAAGCAGATGCTGAGCCTGATGGCCAACTGATGGGCAGAGTGAATGGAATTTTATGTAAGTAGTGGGAAATAGTAAGAGCTAGAGGGGATGGGAATTCCACAAGCAGAGCAACAGAACAAGATAATTTGAACACAGGGAACTTCCCAGAAAATCATACTCCAACCAAGGACTATTCGTGGAGATGACCTGGAACCCCTGCACAGATGTAGCCCATGGCAGTTCAGTGTCCAAGTGGGTTACATAGTAATGGGAAGAGGGACTGCCTCTGACATAATCTGATTGGCCTGCTCGTTGATCATCTCCCCCTGAGGGGGGAGCAGCCTTACCAGGCCACGGTAGAGGACAATGCAGCCAATTTTGATGAGAACTGATAGACTAAGATCAGAAAGGAGAGGAGAACCTCCCCTATCAGTGGACTTGGGGAGTGGCATGCATGCAGAAAGGGGAGGGAGGGTGGGATCGGGAGGGGAGGAGGGAGGGGCTTATGGGGGGGATACAAAATGAATAAAGTGTAATTAATAAAAAATTTAAAAAAACACAAATACAGTCGTGTTATGTTTATCAATTATGTGTCTATACATCACAGTATCTTGGAAAGCACTTTGAAGTGATTAGACTCTAAGCTTCTGTTTTAATTTAAAGTCATTTTGTTTCTCTACAGTAATGAATTGTTAAAGTTATTCTAATTTTTTTCTGAAAATAATTTATTCTATGAGGTGAAGGCTTAAGTCTCTGCATGTCATATTTTATGAAAAGTTTTTTACTTCACATTCAAGTTTATTATATAGGATTGACAATTTTGTTTCACAAAAATCAGAATTTTCTTCCTCCCATACACTCAACAATAACTGTCCATTCTCCTTATGTGAGCCTATCCAAACGTTGCCCATAGAGGTTTTTGCTAGACAACATCCAGAAGACTCAGGCCAGCATCTTGCTGTGATGATTACAGATGTTCACATTATTGGTGAAAGGTAAAAAAAAAAAAAAAAAAAAAAAAAAAAAAAAAAAGCAACAACTCAGAGTTAGCTGCAAATCCCAGCATGCTTACTTATCTATCTAAGAATCCTAGAAATCTCAGCGTGAAAAATTATACCCCCTAGATACATATTAGGCCAATTTACCAAGATAAGGGTTATCATCTAGAACTTTATTTTCATCTATTTAAGTAGGGATAAAAAGCTGTGTTTTGGTCCCAATTAACTTTAACGTGTTTCTTTTTTTTTCTGATGTATTTAAGCTACATATCAGTTTATGTTCCTTTTTAATTAACAGATTTTCAGAATCTAAATCTAAATAAAAACTAAAATTCAAATCTCAAATTTATTCAAAATTTACTCTTCAGAGCGATCAGAAAAATATATTAAAACTGTTTTCAAAGGAGAAAAGCAAGTGGAAATTGCAATGAAATCCAGTGTATAACTACTTATTTACAGGTCATTTTGATCTTATGTCCTTAGTGCCTCTTACAAAATGAGTACTTCACATTCCAACAATAATTATAAGAAGGACAAAGTGCACTAAAATTCTTGATATTGGATCCAGTGAATATAATTTTTCTATTGGAGACAAAATTATCTTCCACACATATTTTCATATATTCTTTCATTAATATGACTTTATTTAATTGCAACATTTATAATATCTCTGAAATACTTGACAGTTGATAATCAATCTCCCTGATTTTTTTCAATTTTGAAAATTATGAAAAATTTTGAAAAATGTATTTCTTATTTACTTTACATCCTAGTTGTAGCCATATGCCCTACCCCTCCCAGTCCCATGTTTCCTCTCTCTCCCTTCCCCTTCACCTATTACTCAGAAAAGGGGTGCTCCCTTTCCCATCCATCCCAGTTCATCAAGTTGCACCAAGATTGAGCATGTCATCTTCCCCTGTGGCCTAGTAATGCAGTTCTGTCAGAAGAAAGTGATCAAAAAGCTGGCAGGTGAGTCCTTTTCCTATGCAGTCCCCCCTTCACTTACTAGAGTACTCACTTGAATCTTAAGCTGTCCATCTACTATATCTTTGTATGGTGCCTAGGTCTTGTTAATGTATGGTTCTTGATTGTTGCTTCAGTCTCAGCAAGCCCTTTTGATCCCTAGTTATTTGGCTCTGTTGGTTTTCTTGTGGAGTTCCTGTCAACTCCATGTCCTTTTCTCTTTCATTGGTCAATGTTTGGCTGTGAGTTTCAGCATCTGTTTTGAGGCATTGCTGGGTAGAGTCTCTCAAAGGACAACTATGTTTGGCTCCTGACTGCAAGTTTAGCAGAGCATTATTCATAGTGTCAGGGGTTGGCACTCTACGAGAGAGTAGGTCTTTAATTGGGCTAGGCATTAGTTGGTCATTCTGTCAGTCTGTGCTCTATCTTTACATGTGCATATCTTGTACACAGGGTAAATTTGGGGTTGAAGTTTTTGTAGGTGAGTTGGAGTTCCCTTCGCCCTATTGAAGACTAGTCTAGTTAGAAGGTGTCTTTATGGCCTCTGCTACTAGGAGTAACTGGTTGAATTCCTTTCATATCCTCTCAGGGATCTACCCTAAGTTAGATCACCATCTTGTCACAGAAATACTCCCATACTCTGTTTCTGTTTTCTTTATATGATTTCTGACCTCTTAGCTTTGCTCTCACCTTCTCCCCCTTATAAACTCTCTAAGTGTGTGCCCTCTCCTACCTTGTTCCCTCTCTTCAGCCACTACCTCTGTCAGTTCTATCTCCCCTTGCAAGTGAGGTATTTGAAAAAAATGTATAAAACCTCTGAATGATTAACATATTATATTTATTCATTTTTTTACTTTAATTTCTTAAAAGTTGTTTACTTTACACCTTGGTCACAGTCCCTTCCCTCATCTCATTCTGGTCCCACACTCCCTCCCTCTCTTCCCTATGCCTTTCCCTGGTCTCGGGGAGGGGGGAACCGTCCTTCACTAACAACTGACCTCAGCCTATACAGTCTCATCAGGATTGGCTGCATCGTTTTCCTCTGTTGTCAGACAAGGCCACCCCACCTAGAGGAAGTGATCAATGAGTCTATAACAGAGTCCATGTCAGAGACAGCCACCTGTCCCTTTAGTAAAGGACCCACATGGGGACTGAGGTG